ATCACATCAAAGCTTAGATCAAAAACATGCATCAGGAAATCTTTGGCTAAACATTTCTTTTTACCAGAGTAGTGAGTGATGACAGAATCTAAAAATTATATAGTTAGCAAGTTTTTTTTCCCTCATTTTAGTTTCACACTGACTTTGCATATATAAATTGACTGATGAGCCCCCATGTGGTTACTTGCTTCCACATTGAAAAAAACAATTTGCAGCAGCAATAAGGCTTCATGTACACTGGGTGTTTTTTACAGCTGTTGTATTGGGCATCAGGCAGTGTTTTTTTTTCTACAGCCAGTAAAGTCCCCAGCATGTTATCATATGTGTCCATGCATTTATCAGCGGTTTTTGGCAGGAGCGGTTTTAGGCTGGACAAAAAACCCAGAGCTACTGTGTTTGAAGAGGTGTTTTCAGCTGTAAAAACGCTCTAACGCTGCAGGATGTGGCTATTCGCGGCCTCAAGCTTTTGTGGGAATATAGTTTTGCTAAAAACGCTAATGCAAAGCACTAATGCAGAAACACTAAATACGACAAAACTCGATTTTTTTAAAGTGGCATTCTACAGCTAGCACTACTAGCGTTTTTATATTGTCCAGTGTACATGAGACCTTATGGTGTTCATGTATGTGAGCCTTCAGCTATTATAAATACATGTAAAATGCTTCTTTGACTTCCTTTTTAAGGTTTCTGAAATATTGGTTGGGATATTTAGCCGATGTTCAAGTTACCACACCAGTAGTGATGACTTTTCTTAATATAAGGAACCTAGAAGGAGAAGTACAGCTAAAGGTGTTTTGGCTGTACTGGACTTCTGGATCACAGGAGTGCAGTTTGTTCTGCACTCCTGTGACCCTTTTTCAGCTGACAGCGAGCTGAAGTCCGGTCCAGGCTGGGGAAAGATCCTGACTTCAAAGTCAGCAAAGCAATGAGAACCTGAGCCAGCTGCTCCCTCCCCCCCACAACCCAGCACTCCAGTGAGCACTGGGGGGAGGGGACAGGGGCAGAGCAGACAGCAGTGACTGACAGTCACCGCTCCCTTTGCAGAACAGAGAGAACTCAGTGATCAGTAGTCATGTGATTGCTGAATTATCACCCTTAGAGTCGACGGTGGACAGATGCAGCTCCGCGAGCGATCCACCTAGGTAACTATAAATGGGGGGAAAAAAAGCTCTACTTCTAAGTGTGGCCCCCTGACATTAACAAGGGGCTGCGTATAATAATCAGTAAATGTAATTCTGCAAAAGGTTGTTGGAGACTGGGGACCTACTTCAGGGACAGTCATAGACTTGAAGACACATCGCACGAGACTGCTAGAGATCACTGCTATTTTAACACCTTTTACAAATCATCGTTTCTACATTTATGCTTTCTTTAGCCCCCCTAAACTGATATTCTCATCAAGGTCCTTTCTAAAAGATTATTGGGAAAAAAAGAAAGATAACTCAGAAAAAATGCAGGCAAGTTTTTTTTTTTTTTTTTTATACCAAATCTAACTGGTACCAAAACTAACTGGTACATGTTCATGTTCCTACTGGTGAAAAAAAGAGGATCTATTATTGGTCACAGAGATTTTATACCAAAACTAACTGGTAACTGATGCCAAGTTTCTTGAACGAAATAACACAAGCCATTCAACTAGTACAAGATGAAAATATTTTTCCTTTTACTGGTCTGAGTAAATACTTGGCTAGGTTCACACTTGTGGGTATCATAACTGTTTCCGCACCCACAACCATCTGAAGCCAAAACACGCTGCTCTGTAGAGATGCGAGGGGCTGCCATTCATTTTCAATGGCACCTCCATGCATCTAAACCCGCAGTGTGTTTGCGGGTGCAGGGGCCACAGGGTAATCATGTGGTGCAAAAGCACCGTGCAGTTTCCCTGTGGCTGCATTTTTTTAATTTTTTTTGCCGTAAACGCAGGCACAGCAGCCTATTCAAATGAATGGCTGCCATGCCCACACAAACGGGCAACAGTGTGAACCCAGCCTTGGGAAATGAAAGCTGAAGCTCCCAGGGCTGCACAAGTGCCAAATGGCTGCATACAGCCTCTGCTGTGAACGCAGTACAGGGTTGTATGTGAAACTTGAGGCTGACCATATGGAAATGTCAATCCATTCCCTCATCTGTTTCCACTAGTTGACATTGCTGTTTCCTTTGTTTCAAACTCATAAAAGACATGTTCATGTTCCTACTGGTGAAAAAAAAGAGGATCTATTATTGGTCACTGAGATTTTATACCAAAACTAACTGGTAACTGATGCCAAGTTCCTTTTATCAAGCAAACTGATATTATTGTGTTTACTGAATAATTATTACTAGCAGTGCTTATGATGGTCTAATTGGTAGTGAAAAAGCTTGACTGTATTTTCAGTATTGTCTTGCGTTAGCACATAAATTGGTCATTTTATTTTGTTCAGCCAGCGGGTTGAACATTAAAAAAAAATTCCCCCATTCCCCCATCTACACATTCTAGGTGGATGGGGGAATCCTTCTCGCTGAGTTACAGAGGCTGGACAAAAATATGGAAACACTACATGATTTGCAGGTGTGAAAGTGACAACATGTTTCACATTGAAAGTGGAAGTGATGTAACATTCTTTTGCTTCTGCTGTGTGATGAGACACCTAGCTAACAGATGGGAAGCTTTAATCATTCACTGCGTGTGCTGCTAGTAGTATGGAATCATGTCAGAGCTTACTGAGATCGAAAGAGGGCAAATTGCTGGTGCTGTGCTCTGTGAATGAAGATGACAATTTATTTGCAGTGTCGTGAGGTACAGTATCATAGGTTATGACGGCATAGATCGTTTCCAAGAAAACGTCATTTGAAAAGCATAAGCGCGGTCGACATGGTCAACTGACTGAAAGAGACAAAAGATCATTGCACAGGATTGTGACCCGGAATAAGAAAACAACTCTTGCAGAAGTGACTGCAGAGCTCAATCTTAGTCCTGCAAAGCCTGTGTCCACAAAAACTGTGCGGATGGAACTCCATAAGCAAAACATTTACGGGCGAGCTGCATTTACCAAACCACTAGTGACCGATATTAATCGGAGAAGAGGAGAGAGTGGTGCAATGCCCATAAATTGTGGACTATTGATCAATGGAAGACTGCAATGTGGTCCAATGGATGGAGCTTCACACTGTTCCCAACCACCGCATGTTTTTAGGTGTGGCAAACAACAACCCAAGCTTAGGACTGTTTTGTGCCAAGGGTAACGCTGCCAGTGCAATCATGGTTTGGGCAGCCATATCTTGATATTCTACAGGCCCTATCACCTTGAAAGGTAGAGTCACTGCCAGCGAGTATGTACAAATTATGGCTTACCAGGTGCACCCCTTGGTGCAGATATTGTTTCCCGAATGCAGCTCCATTTACCAAGATGATCATGCTCTGCTTTACACAGCTGGTGTTCAAATCATGGTTTGACGAGCATGCAAATGAACTCTCACCTTTTTCCCTGGGCCCTGCAGTCACTGGACCTCAATATGGTCAATTTTGGAGAACAAGGTTCAGGCTCGTTTTCCACCTCCAGCTTCTCTGTGAGGACTGGAACAATTTTTGCATGAAGAGTGGTTCTATTATCCACCATCCAAGAATTACATTTGGCAATTTCCAGGGGAATTCAGGTTTTGTTAGATGCCAAAGATGTCCAACACCATATTCAGGGATGAACACTAGTCAGCAGCACTGATCGATCGGGATAAACCTGACAGCTGGTTGTACAGAATTTGATCGGTAGATTGACTTCTGTATGATCAGCCTGCCCATACATGGATTGAAATTTGCCCAGTCCCTGCTGCTTAGTTGCATTAGGCTCTCTGCACTTTATTTTATATTTCTAAACCTTAGGCAGTGGTTGTCTGATACAGCTGGTTATGACTCTTGTTTTATTTAAATTAGATAAGACACTCCAGTGGTTTATTTTCCAGAGAATAGCTGATTGGTATTGTTGGACATGGCTATTGTTTTTCACTCATTAAAGGATGACATTCGTACGTTGCTAGGGTGTGAATTGTCATCTGGGTATTCTGGCAATGTGAGCATGCTTCTCTGTCTGTCCAAAAAAATGATCAGCATAACTGCTGACTTTTTCACAAGGTCAGTTGACATGATTGTTTGCATGAAAAAATGGGTGGGTGCAAGATATTTGCAGGAATATGCACAAAACATTTATTTTCTGGGATAGGGATTTCAGTAATGGGCTGGTGGTTAATTCAGTTCTAAGGACTAATGCAGGCCATAGACGGGTTGAGCATAGGCCGGTTTTTCGAAAAAAAACAAAAAATCGGTCGTTCATTCGGCTGACGTTACCACCAACGCTAAAAAAAAAACGGCCGACTAAATCATAAAGTTCACCCCATAACTTCTGTCCCTTGCAGGTCACGGCTCATGCGTGGATTTTTTATCAGTAAAACGATCGGCCGATTTGCCCATCATTGCCGGGAAAATCGGCCGATCGTCAAAATCGGCTGCAAATTTTCCAACATGACCGATAAACTGCAAAAAACGGCCGACCAATTAACCCACTTAAGAGTGCGAAAATCGGCCGATTTTGTTTTTTTTTTTATTTTTCCGGACAAAAAATTGGCTGATTTTCGAACCGTCAATGGCCAGCATTTATTTCAATATTTTTAAAAGTGATTATTTTCATACCAATAATTGCTGGTTTATGCCATGAGGCTTATTTACTAAAGAAGCTGAGAATCTTGCATGAATATTTACATGAAAAGGAAAAGTCCCCATTTATTTCATCTGCACATGACTATTCAAAGGGAACATGGCTACAATTTGAGTGAAAATTTTCAATCCCTTTAGTATATCCAACTTTTTCTTTTTTTTTTTTTTTTTTTTCTCTTCATCTATCTTCAACCATTTTATGTGCTTTTCTTTCTGTTAGTGCAAGCGGTAGCATAAACTGTCATCTTTTTTGTCTAATGTAAACTATTTTAAAATATATTTATATAAATAAATAATTTTTCTTTTTTGTTGACAGATTGACTACACTGGGATAGATTCCAATAGTGACTGCCACAAATGTGTTAATATTTCATGGAACAGCAAGCCATGCAATTGTACTATTAATTTTATGCTGGATACTGCATTTGAGGTAAAGGCATTATTGTTTGTTATGTTATGTATTATAAAGGTTTTGATATTTCTAATGGTAAATGTAATTTCACAGTTTGTAGTCTGTGCTTGACCCTTGGTCCACGACAGCACACAGTTCAGGCTTGTCTGCCCCCGTCAAATGCTGAGAATGTAGGCCTGCTCTGAAAAAAAGTTGTTTCACAAGTACAGTAGTCTGGCTTTAGTTTTACTAAGAATCTAACCACTAATGTACTGGCCAGTGAATTATTTTTAGTAATAGCTCTCACCCTTAGACTAAAACGAAAAAGTTTAAAGTAACGACATGGGCTGCCTTACTGAACCTTCCTCTGAAAATACTAGTTGCCTGGCTTTCTCTGGCTTCAATACATTGAATCACAGACCTTTTAAGGCGTGACATATTTGGTATCTATTTACTTGGCATACAACAACATCTTTTTTTATATTACTAATCAGTTGGGTATTATATTGTGTTTTTGTGCCTTAAAATTAAAGTGTATTTTTTTCCCAAATAATTGCATTTGAAAAACAATTGCACAAATACCATGTGCAATAAAAAAATTGCAACACCCATTATTTTATTTTCTAGGGCCCCTGCTTAAAAATATATCATGTTTGGGGGTTTCTAAGTAATTTATCAAAACAAAAAGGCTTTTTATATGTAGGAGAGTTGTCAGAATATTCTTGGGGCTCGAGTGGTTAATGACTTATACTTTGACTTATTTTTCTCCTTTTCGCATTGGTGGTTGTTGTGTGTTTTTTTTTGTTTTTTTTGTGTATGTCTTGTTAAGTCAAGGTAGACAATATGTGCATATGGCTGCATTAATATGAACCTTGATAGGAGACACTTGACGCTTGGTTTAGAGCTCTCCCAAGTGTCTCCTAGCTGCTATGGTGCTTTCATCAGGAATAACTGTGCTATATTGTATACTGCCAGCAACAACGCTGCTCACCTCAACAAGCCATCTCTGCTGGGTGAGCTTTTACAGCATGGTCAGACTTCCCACTAAGTAAATAAGGTCTCTGGATGCTTTTGTGTATCCAGTAGAGATAAAAGCATGGGCTAACAGACTACTAATTGTTTCCTCTTTATTATCTTTAATAAGTCATTAAAGCATATGGGGTATCACTTGTTTTCTCTGCTGGCATGGTAGAGCAATCATTTGATGTAAACTTTTTTAAACCTGCAGGAACCATATACAGTATCTCACAAACATTAGTACACCCCTCACATTTTTGTAAATATTTTACTCACTTTTGTTGCCAGCATTTTAGACATTAACCTCTTCACGCCGGCTGAACGCAAATGTGCGGCCTCCCGGTGTCTGGACATAGATGCTGAGCAGCCGCACATTTGCGTTCTATTAGAAAAGGACATATGTGCTGAGAGCACGCACCCTGCGTGCTCCCAGCACACGTCTGGTAGTCACGGAAAGGTCCCGATCTCCTCTTTCGATCGAGACCTTTTCCCGATGGCGTGTCACAGCGGTCACATGACCCTAAACCCCTCCCGGCTTCTGATACCCTTAAAGGGCTGGGAGGCGTCGGCGCCAAGGGGTTAATGGCTGTGTTGAGTTATTGTGAGGTAACAGCAAATTTACACTGTTATACAAGCTGTACACTCACTACTTTACATTGTAGCAAAGTGTCATTTCTACAGTGTTGTCACATGAAAAGATAGAATAAAATATTTACAAAAATGTGAGGGGTGTACTCACTTCTGGAAGATACTGTATTCAAGTGCACTGTCAGTTATCCCTAGCTATTAGTCACATTTGACTCTAATTTACGTGATATAACTAGCAAAAAGTATAAAGTTTTGATTCCTGAGTGTCATCAAAAATTAAGCTTGTCATCCAGGTAAGAAATATCAGTGGGGATGATCTGATCCTTAGCCTACCTTTTTATCTATCTTAAACAATTTTATTTGCTATTTGTAACTTTTTTTTTTTTTTGCAGAGCAATGTGTTCATGTATTATGGACTGTCTAACTTCTACCAGAACCACCGCCGATATGTTAAGTCAAGGGATGACAGTCAGTTGAATGGAGACAAAAATTCCCTGACAGTAAGTCCTACTTTTTTTTTTTTTTTTTAAGTTAAAGCATATCTAAACTAAAAACAAAAATATAATATACTACAGCTTATCAATCCTTAGATGCTGTGGCTGCATTTATTATTTTTTTTCTGTTATTTTTTTTTTTTTTTTTTGTACATCCAAAAAGTATTCATTTTCCACATTTTGTTGTGTTACAACCAAAAACGTAAATGTATTTTATTGGGATTTTATGTGATGGCCCAAAACAAAGTGGCACATAATTGTGAAGTGGAAGGAAAATGGTTTTCAAAATTTTCTACAAATATCTGAAAAGTGTGGCATGCATTTGTATTCAGCCCCCTTTACTCTGATACCACCTGTGTGTAATTTAAATTCAGCATAAATATAGCTGTTCTGTGAAGCCTTGTTCTGTGATATCCCAAGCTTTGAACGGAGATGGAAAGAGTACGGCACAACTGCAAACCTACCAAGACATGGCTGTCTACCTAAACTGACATGCCGGGCAAGGAGAGCATTAATCAGAGAAGCAGCCAAGAGGTGGTAGTTCTGCAGAAGCTGCAGAGATCCACAACTCAGGTGGGAGAAAAACAACTATTAGTCATACACTCCATAAATCTGGCTTTATGGAAGAGTGGCAAGAAAAAAGCCATTGTTGAAAGAAAGCCATTAGAGGTCCAGTTGGCAGTTTGCGAGAAGCCATGCGAGGGACACAGCTAACATGTGGAATAAGGTGCTCTGGTCAGATGAGACCAAAATTTAACTTGTTGGCCTAAAACCAAAACTCTGTGTGGCGGAAAACTAACACTGCAAATTACCCGGAACACACCATCCCTACTGTGAAACATGGTGGTGGCAGCATCATGTTGTGGGGATGCTTTTCTTCAGCAGGGACAGGGAAGTTGCTCAGAGTTGATGGGAAGATGGATGGAGCCAAATACAGGGCAATCTTCGAAGAAAACCTGCTAGAGTCTGTAAAAGACTTGAGACTGGGGCAGAGTTTCACCTTCCAGCAGGATTACAACATGCAGCCAGAGCTACAATGGAATGGTTTACATCAAAGCTTATTCATGTGTTAGAATGGCCCAATCAAAGTCCAGACCTAAATCCAATTGAGAATCTGTGGCAAGACTTGAAAATTGCTGTTCAGACATTCTCCATCCAATCTGACAGAGCTTGAGCTATTTTGCAAACAAGAATGGGTAAACATTTCACTCTCTAGATGTGCAAAGTTGGTAGAGACATACCCTAATTGTCTTGCAGCTGTAATTGCAGTGAAAGGTGGTTCTACAAAGTATTGACTTAGGGGGGCTGAATACAAATGCACGCCACACTTATCACATATTTATTTGTGAAAAATTTTAAAAACCATTTATTATTTTGTTTCCACTTCACAATTATGTGCCACTTTGTGTTGGTCTATCACATAAAATCCCAATAAAATACATTTACGTTTTTGTTTGTAACATGACAAAATGTGAAAAATTTCAAGGGGTATGAATACATTTCAACAGCAATCTGAAGAGGGTCTATGCATGAGAATCTACAAGTCCCGACAGCCTTAGCGGCTGCTAGCTTCTACTTCTTGATGAACTACTGGCTGCTATGGCTGGGCGGCCTTTCATAAAGAGTCCAGAGGCCATCCAGTCACCGCACCTAGAGAACACACACTGCTTCCCAAGTGCCTATGCTGGAATATTGCTATCTACTTGTTCGCAGCTGGCATGTCCAATAAGAGTGGTGCCATTGAGAAAAACAGTTGGACATTTTGCTGTGGTAATCTTTGGTGTTATCCTTACTGCGCTTTTTGACTGTTCCTGGTTGGGCGGTCAAAACTCAAGGTAAGAGGCAGTTTGTTTGGTGTGGAGGTGGAGTTTCTTCCCTCATGTGTCCTATCCTTTTGAGCGCCATCAGCTACAGCTTATTCAGTGAGGATCCTCACGGATTGTTGACTCTTTTTTTTTCTAAAACTGTATATCTACACCATCTATTTGGACTTGATGATGAGATATTTATGGACTTATTTTATGTGCTTGAATATACTTGTGTACAACAAAATATATTTCTGCTGTGTTTACATCAATAAAACTAATACAAAATTCACTGATTACACAAGTATAAAGTACAATCAAAAGTTAACTCATGATTGTTCATAAAACTATAAAATTAACGTCCGCACTCAGTGTCCACCAATAGCCCAAAGGGCTGCTAACATATGATATGAAACTTGTGCGTTGAAATCAAGCATTCGGTGCTCCCAACTTTCCAGACCACCAAAAGTGTCAACTTCTTACTGGAAATATGTGATCTCAAAGTTATAGAGACCAATTGCGCTTGTGAAAAGGGTTAAACCCCACTGGACAAATTACATGTTTCCACGTACTTCTCCTTCTGGAATACAGCCAATATCCTGAAATGCACAGCTCCCCTCAGGTGTACTATTAGAAAAGGAAGACCAACACAGGGAAATCTAATCGAATATACCACTTTGTGTGTTTGAAGTCAAACAGTCGGTGCTCCCAGCTTTTTCTATATTGTAAAGAGATCAGATGCACTTGTGAAAAGGGGTTAAACCCCACTGGATCCACTGTATGCTTTCATGTGTTTCCCCTTCTGGAGCACCATGCCTATTTATACCGAATGTAAAAACAGTGGTGGTGTTGCACTGTAAGTTTGCACCTGTTTTCCGTTGGAGGTTTAAATTTTAAAGAGTGTGGTTAATGATTTAATATTTTATGATCATTATAAAGCGCAGCCTTTGTTGGATGGATTGCTCTTTCTAGTGATGTCACCATTTCTATGTATACTTGATGACCTGGCTGATTTCTGATGCTGTATTTTGTTGTGCGGAAACTGTTTCTGTGTAACGTATGAGGAAGAGAGCTTTTCAAGTGGAACTGTACCAACTGGATTACCTTTTTGCTAATACCGTTACTTTAAAGGCATGCTTGCAATAACAGTTACTGCTGTGCTTATGTTGGCTTTGTCAAATATTAAATAGCTATCTATCAAATGGCTGGTGTCACAGCTGATGACATGTGCAGCACCATAACAACTGCTGATCAGAGGCTAAGATGGCAGTTTTCTTGGCTGGAAAGAAGTGAAGGGTTTAGTTCTACATTAAGACTGGGCATTGTAATTAGTAAATCAAATTGTCCATTTTTTTACTTGGGAAATGAAGAACTTGTCTGCTGAGGAAAACGAATATTTGCTTTCCACGTACCTTTTTTTTTTTTTTTTTTTTTTTTTTTTTTTTTCATATTTGATGGATTTGTTCAATTAACTGAATTCTTTTTAATCACTCTAGAATCCAAGCAAAGAATGTGATCCTTATCGTACCAGCGATAATAAGCCTATTGCTCCTTGTGGTGCTATTGCAAACAGTATGTTCAATGGTAAGTAGTCTTTAGTGCTACATTTCATAAAAAGTAGTATCACCAAAGTAACCTCCTGAATGTTTCTTGTCGTTTAACCACTTAAGCTCCGGATGATTTTACCCGCTTCATGACTAGGCCATTTTTTGCTATTTGGCACTGTCACTTTAACTGGCAATTGCACAATCATGCAACACTGTACCCAAATGAAACTTTTATAATTTTTTTCACACAAATAGAGCTTTCTTTTGGTGGTATTTGATCACCGCTGTTTTTTTTATTCTATAAAAGAATAAAGACAGAATATGTTGAAAACATTTATATTTTTTACTTTCTGCTATAAAACATTCAATAAATTAAAAAAAAAAAAATTTCTTCATATATTTAAGTCAAAATGTATTCTGCTACATGTCTTTGATAAAATAATCCCAATATGTGTATATTGATTGGTTATAGCATCTACAAATGATTGTGTGTGTGTGTGTGTGTGTGTGTGTGTATGTGTATGTATATATGTATGTATATGTATATGTATGTATATATATATATATATGTATATATATATATATATATATATATATATATATATATATATATATATATATATACTGGATTTTTATTTGTTTAATTTATATTAATAATGGCGACGATCAGCGACCTATAGTGAGACTGTGATAGTATGTCGGGCAATCTGGCACTAACTGATACTTTGTGGGAACTGACTCACTGCCACCTCCAGTGACAATAATACAGTGATCGATGCTAATAATATACACTGTCACTGTACTAATGACACTGGCTGGGAAGGGGTTCATCTAGGGGCAATGAAGGGGTTAATTGTGTCCCTAACAATGGGTAATGTGTATAATATGTGCTGCTCTTTACTACTGATTGATTTCTTTCTTTTCCCTGCCTTGCTGGGGGAGAAGAAACAAAGTGATCATTCCCTCTGTATAGAGCCTTGTGGTGTTTGTCAACACAGGGCTCTGGGCTGTGATTTGACACAGCCGATCAGTAGGTCCCGGCCATAAATCATTGACTGGGTTCTGCTGACAAACTCCTGCTTTGTCAAATCATGGGAGAAGGCAGACAAGGGCATGTGCCTGAAACCTGGAAACAGGCAGCGACGTACAGGTACTTTGCTGTGCCCATAGGAGCGACTCTGCCGCAGTATATGAACTTCGGTTAATGAGTTGCAACAATTTTCTGGCTCCCATGCCCAAAAGTACCAACTAACATAACTAAACATTTTGCCAATTTAAACCAGGAATATGTTACACTTTGTAGCCTAGCTACCAACCAGACAGGAACCCCCCCACAGAATATTGCAATGCACAATGGCCATAATAAATCCATTTAGAATAATCTCTCCTTCCGAGTTCGTCCTGGTGAGCCTCTTGAATAGCTGGGCCACAATGAAATGACTGCCACACATGGAAGTTACGCCACCATGACACCAAGTGCAGTAACGTACTCTGTGCTGCACATGTGTGGCTCCCTGTTCGTTACCTCTAACAGGCAGGAGGAAGCATTTATGGCAGAAGAGACTGACAGGGTCAGGTTTTTGTCATTAAAAAAAAAAAAAAAATTGCCTGTCTTCCTTTTTTTTTTTTTTTTTTTTTTTTTTTTTCCGTGTACAGAGTAAATTGTGAAGAGCTTAAAACAGAACTCCACCCAAAAGGGGAAGTTCCGCTTTAAGGACTGCTCCCCCGCTCCACATTTAATATAAAATGGAATGAAAAGGGAACTTTGTATGTATATAGATAGTGAATACTTGTGAGCTATTATGAAGTGAGGTGTTCAATAAGTAACATTAAGTGGAATCTTCTTATTTAGTGTATAGGGTGCGCTGGCACTTGCACTGACTCACTTGCTAGTGTGTATATAATGGTATAGAATAGATTGCGCCGTGCTCCTATATAATAGTATATTTAACTTATACTTCTAAGGAAAATATCAATTTCAATATCAATTACTGTGACTTGTGGCTATAACAATAAACATATATTAAAATCTACATATAGGTGACATGTATAATAAATAATCCTAAAGTGATAGTGCCTTAAGAGGTACCATGGTATAGGAGTGAATGTGTATATGCTTTTGCACAATGCGAATAGAGTGATCACAGCAACATAGAGGTGCAATATGGATTCCTATACCATGGTACCTCTTAAGGCACTATCACTTTAGGATTATTTATTATACATGTCACCTATATGTAGATTTTAATATATGTTTATTGTTATAGCCACAAGTCACAGTAATTGATATTGAAATTGATTGATATTTTCCTTAGAAGTATAAGTTAAATATACTATTATATAGGAGCGCGGAACTTTGTATGTAGCTATGGATGTTGAGTTACTGCAGCAGTGTTCACATTGAGACCATTTATTGAAAGCTGGACACAGATTGTGGTATTGGCAAAATTGTGCTTAGGCGCTTGATGCAGACCTCTTCCTTTTGTCACAGCCACTAAAAGGATGATCTGCTTGTAGCTAATTTTGTGAGGCTGCTCTATCATCATTAACTTGCGATAACTTTTTTCCTCTAGACACTCTCCGCTTATATAAAATCACAGATGGAGGAGAGGAGTATATTCCATTGACCAAAAAAGGGATTGCTTGGTGGACTGATAAAAATGTAAAGTTCAAAAACCCAGTGGGAAATACAACAGACCTCAAGGAGATCTTTAAAGGTAAAATCTGCTTTTTTGCTTATTTTTAACACGCTCTGTCCCCAGTGAAAGGAACTGGTCTACCATACTAAATTTGCCAAACATGTTTTCAGCTCTACTTCTTTCAATTCAAACTGTTGGTCTAACTGTAAATGGTTTTCACGTTGGGTCATTCATTCTACATACCTCTATTCAATCAAAAATTGCTGTTACTGAAATATTACCATTGTTGGAAATGCACTAGACTTTAAGTAATGTTAAAGGATAACTTCACCTTTTTGGGAAAAAAAAAAAATGCACATAATTTTGCAGGAAGGAGCCTGGAAAGCATTGCACCCATGATCAGTGGTTTGTGTGTGCAGTGTCAGACTCCTGTAGACAAGAACTGCAGCTTGCAGCCTGTTCCTTCATACGAGCTGACTTTACAAGCAGGGCTTGTCAGTGATCTATGAGGCCCCTTATCAGCAACTCTTCAGTCTATTGAGAACTACAAGCCATCAGCTGCATAGGATGACAGTATTTGTAGTTCACGTCATTCACAGTAAACTGAATGTATGACGCGGCCGTGTGGGCTGAGTTATTTTCAAATAGTGACTGCGGGTACGGGGAGAAGATCCCCCACCCCCTGCTCTCTGTCACTGGGAGGGGGAAGAGAGGGAGAGGATGCAACTGCTGGAGCATGTTACATGGTTCACCCTAAATACGAGTGGAACATGTAGCATATTCCGAAAGGTGAACCTTTGACTGCTTTTATAGCACCAGCCCCTTTCTTCTCCACTGGAAAGCAAGGCTTAACACAGTCTGAAGCTGCACTGTGTGTGCCCTTTGACTTTACAGTGGGTATACAGTGGGCCTTGATGCAGAGCGGCCGCATATTTGCTTACCAAAAGTAAACAAACATTTACTGGTGCCTCACAGAAAGGTCCCAATAACTACTTGGGGCTGTTTCTCTGCCGCAGGGGCTGGAGCACTTGTCAGGATAGAAGAGAAAATGGATGGGACAAAATACTGTCAAATCCTTGAAAGAAATCTGCTGCCCTCTGCCAGAAAGTTGTCAATTGTCCAACATGACAATGACGCAAAGCATGCAGCAGAAATGACCACAACAGTGGTTGAAGGAGAAAAAGGTGACTGTCATTTCATGGCCTTGTCAGAGCCAGATTTAAACCCCATTGAAAATCTGTGGAATGACTTGAAGACTGCATTCCACAAACGGTCACAATCAAATTTAACTGAACTTGAGCAGTGCAAAAAAGAATGAGCAAATGTTGCAGTTTAGATGTGCAAAGTTAGTAGAGATATATCCCAACAGACTAAAGTTTGGAATAAAAGCTAAAGGTGGTTCAACATAATACCGACACAAGGGGGTGATCCTTTTTCCAACTCAGTGGTTCTGTTTTTGAATTTTTTTTTTTTTTCCCCAGACATGTTGGCGTTATCCTTCACTTGGATATTATATGTTGTACTTAGTAAATACAGTTGGATAAAACACAAAATGTGTCATGTGTACATTTCAGGCTGCAAAGCAACAAAATGTGATTACTTTATAGGGGGGTGATTCTTTTCTATATACACTGTAAGTTCTGTGTTCTTTAGTACATGTGATCCTGGTAATTTTATGGCTTGTTCACATTACATGTAATTATTTATCTTTTTACTTGTTATATGCCATCTTAGTATGTATACATGCTCTGTGTTGCTAATTGTTCTTATTTTTCTTTTCTTTTGCTAAGATACAACTAAGCCAATTAATTGGCAGAAACCAGTGTATGAGTTAGATCCTAAGGATTCGGACAACAATGGATTTGTCAATGAAGATTTTATTGTATGGATGCGTACTGCAGCATTGCCAACATTCAGAAAGCTTTATGGTCTCATAGAAAAGAGTGATTCTTTACAAGTAGCATTAAAGCCTGGAAATTACACTCTTTATATTGAATACAGTATCCTTTTCAATTTATGGCTTCTTTTTATCTTTTTTTTCTTTTTACAACTTCAGTATAAACATTACTTGCTGGAAAATTGAAGGAATTAACTTTACTTCCTTGGCAATGAGTTGTTAAAATGGAATTTGAGACCACTCCATTCCAGTCATGTGATTTCTCCTGTGTCGACCAGTAGTGGCTGCAGGGGAGAGGAGGGGCGCTCGACAATGGCTGGTAATGCCTGAGAGTGATGTTGCCACCCATAGTCTCCTATGGCTCATCTGCTGTCAGCTCCTCTCCCCTGCCGCCACTGCTGGCTGACACTGGGGGGGGGGGGGGGGACAGACCACCTGATCTGAGCAACTTAAAAATAGGTAAGTATATATATCTTTCTTACACAGGTTAGTCAGCATAGGTGTTGAAAGTGGAGAGGGAGTATTTTTAAGATTAGTTTTCTTTTTGAAATTAGCCACAGCCTGAGCAGAAAAGCATGTACTCTGCCAGTGTGATACAGAGAAGGACCCTGAAGAATTTATACTGCTATATTACAACACTTCAACCTATAATATCCCCGAAAAGTGATCTGCCTTCACCCTTGAAGGCCAACTGAATAATATATATGTGACTTTTCTATGAGCAAATACATCAAATCAAAATGAAAAACCAAACATAATATAAAATTATAAAAATTATCTGCAAAAAATTATCTGCAAAAATTATGTCCAAAGTCCCACCGTGTCCAAAAATAAAATCAAAAAGTCCCAAAAGAATCCCCAAAAAAAAATAATCCTCACAAGTGTAAACACAAAAACTTCTGAGTGTACCAGTTTTAGTAAATCTACCCCAGGGTAACAGAATTGATATATCAGCCATAGCCTAATTAGAAAAGCTGGTCCCCTGCCAGCACATTGTTAGGGCTTTTGCTATTTGTATGGCAGCACTAGTCTTTATGCAGAGGTCCAGCTACCTCCCCTGCTGAGTTAGAGCTATTGGTCTCCAATCAGCAAAGATCATGTTCCCTGTTGATTGAAGAACTCGCATGACTCATTGGGGTTTTTTTTTTTTTTTTTTTTTTGGACCACTGCAGAAAGACCAATTCTTCAGGGTCATAATATATATGTGACTTTTCTATGAGCAAATACATCAAATCAAAATGAAAAACCAAAAATAATATAAAATATAAAATTATAAAAATTATCTGCAAAAAATTATCTGCAAAAAATTATGTCTAAAGTCCCACCGTGTCCAAAAATAAAATCAAAAAGTCCCAAAAGAATCCCCAAAAAAAATAATCCTCACAAGTGTAAACACAAAAACTTAAACTTTTTCTTCTTCTTTCATCACCAAAACCTTCTTAATACCCGCAAATTCTGATGTTCATATACCTCAAAAAAAGAAAAGAACTCGACATAGTGTCATACCTTAAATAATGAAAAACACACGTGCCACTCGCTGTGCAGCATGCAAAATATTAACTAAACGTGTAAACTCAAACCAAGTGTCAAAACACATACAAATAAGTGAAATGACAATATGAGTGAAAGCACATACAATATGTGAAAAACCACTCCACAAATAGCACTCTTATATATAAAAGGGTGATAAACAAAATCCAAATCCCAACTCTCCAACTCTAATATGGATGGGTAATTACCCTATAGCAGAAACAGCAGGGCAGATTAACCACTCTGGGTTACACTCTCCTCTCCTCGATTTTCTCCCAGGACTAGGGTCACTTCCTCCACTTTCCTCCAGAGAACCAGTCAGTGAAACAGATAAGTGAAATGACAATATGAGTGAAAGCACATTCACCCTATAGTAGAAACAGCAGGGCAGACTAACCACTCTTGGCCACACTCTCCTCTCCTCAACTTTCTCCAAAGACTAGGGTCACTTCCTCCACCTTCCTCCAAAAACCAGTCACAGTGTAAGAGATAATCTTCTTTATTGATAACTCACATAAAATTCGTGGTAACAGCTCCTCCTCACAAGCAGTGTGCACATGGACAGGTTCAGGGAAACATAAACCGCATGTTCCCACTTCCAAAATGGCCGCGATCGCACTTCCGGTCAAACGTCGATGCGTATGACGTCACGTGTCTCTGACGCGTTTTGTCACTTCCTTTGACTTTTTCAGAAGGGTAAGGACGTCTGCGCATCGACTCCTTATGTACCGCCCTTCCTACATTAACGGCACCACTCAACGCCATCTTGGAAGCTGGAAAACGCTGCCCACACCTGACTGCATTGTATCTCATACAAAAATCAAACTGCCACCTATACATAACTAAGACCTTATGCCTCTATAAAGTAAGACACCACATATAAGGTACAAATACAATGTACATTTAGATATAATACCAGGACCAATTACGTTATCATTCTTATCTTGATACATACATGCAAGTGTATACTCCATAGGACCACACATATGTATATATCCAAAAAACCTCAGAATCACACAAATAAGAAATATAAATATATCAAGATATGTTATCAAAATAAACATATCTATAATTATTATAGAACATATCTATTTCATTTTAAACCTATACAACTAAAACACATACTGAAAGCTCCCTCTACTGGTCAAAGTTTAAAAAGGCATATCTATAATATCTAGACTTCTGCCCAATATTATTATTCATCCCCAATACGCTTAATCTAATACCTGGAAATACTCCATATAACGATATCAATATTTACCCCTATCCTACACACGTAATTCAAGACACATAATCTAACACCTGAAAATTAATTAATTTTCTTTTAGTGCTGATACATAAATATAATAGATCATTAAAAAGTTAAAATGAATAATTAAAAATTTTGAATATCCTACCATTATTATTAACAATTATTTCATTTAAAATTATATTACCTCAATGGTTCCACCCGTTAATTTCATGAATCCATATAAACTTCCCTCATACATATGGGGTATTTTACAAACAATATCCTAAAATATGAATATAAATAACATATTACTTCTAAAATATAAGTAAAATATCCACTAAAAAATATATTAAAAATCCGCAATAAAACAGTTCAAATCTAGTTCAATATTTAAACCATTCGGTTTTAAAGTATTCAATTTAAAAATCCAATATGTCTCATTTTGCGATATACTCTTTACCTTATTACTACCTCTCGTGCCGTTAATGTAGGAAGGGCGGTACATAAGGAGTCGATGCGCAGACGTCCTTACCCTTCTGAAAAAGTCAAAGGAAGTGACGAAACGCGTCAGAGACACGTGACGTCATACGCATCGACGTTTGACCGGAAGTGCGATCGCGGCCATTTTGGAAGTGGGAACATGCGGTTTATGTTTCCCTGAACCTGTCCATGTGCACACTGCTTGTGAGGAGGAGCTGTTACCACGAATTTTATGTGAGTTATCAATAAAGAAGATTATCTCTTACACTGTGACTGGTTTTTGGAGGAAGGTGGAGGAAGTGACCCTAGTCTTTGGAGAAAGTTGAGGAGAGGAGAGTGTGGCCCAGAGTGGTTAGTCTGCCCTGCTGTTTCTACTATAGGGTGAATGTGCTTTCACTCATATTGTCATTTCACTTATCTGTTTCACTGACTGGTTCTCTGGAGGAAAGTGGAGGAAGTGACCCTAGTCCTGGGAGAAAATCGAGGAGAGGAGAGTGTAACCCAGAGTGGTTAATCTGCCCTGCTGTTTCTGCTATAGGGTAATTACCCATCATATTAGAGTTGGAGAGTTGGGATTTGGATTTTGTTTATCACCCTTTTATATATAAGAGTGCTATTTGTGGAGTGGTTTTTTCACATATTGTATGTGCTTTCACTCATATTGTCATTTCACTTATTTGTATGTGTTTTGACACTTGGTTTGAGTTTACACGTTTAGTTAATATTTTGCATGCTGCACAGCGAGTGGCACGTGTGTTTTCATTATTTAAGGTATGACACTATGTCGAGTTCTTTTTCTTTTTTTGAGGTATATGAACATCAGAATTTGCGGGTATTAAGAAGGTTTTGGTGATGAAAGAAGAAGAAAAAGTTTAAGTTTTTGTGTTTACACTTGTGAGGATTATTTTTTTTGGGGATTCTTTTGGGACTTTTTGATTTTATTTTTGGACACGGTGGGACTTTGGACATAATTTTTGCAGATAATTTTTTATAATTTTTATATTATTTTTTGGTTTTTCATTTTGATTTGATGTATTTGCTCATAGAAAAGTCACATATATATTATGACCCTGAAGAATTGGTCTTTCTGCAGTGGTCCAAAAAAAAAAAAAAAAAAAAACCCCAATGAGTCATGCGAGTTCTTCAATCAACAGGGAACATGATCTTTGCTGATTGGAGACCAATAGCTCTAACTCAGCAGGGGAGGTAGCTGGACCTCTGCTTAAAGACTTGTGCTGCCATATACAAATAGCAAAAGCCCTAACAATGTGCTGGCAGGGGACCAGCTTTTCTAATTAGGCTATGGCTGATATATCAATTCTGTTACCCTGGGGTAGATTTACTAAAACTGGTACACTCAGAATCTGATACAGTTGTACATGGTAGCCAATCCGTTTCTAACCTCAGCTTGGTTTTACTTTTACCCCATATTTGATTTGGATGTTGGCACATGGCAGCACTTCTGGGCACCCTGATTACTGGCTCAAAACAAAAGATCTGTGGGTCAGCAAAGGCCTGTGAACCCTCATTTTGCGGAGTACTTCGACTCCAGTTGGGAGAGCTTGCTTTCCATGTGCTGCATCTTGTACCCATTGTATGTGGTTACTGAACCAAGCTGACTGCCTTTGCACCCCTTTCTGAAACTTTTCTTAAGACTTCTGGAGTATCAGGGACTAATGACCTTGCGGCAGATGACTTTTCCCCTGCAGTGGAAGGCTTTATCTCATAACTTATGTCACAGTCTGCAAGTGTCCCCCTGCCCCTTTCCTGAAGGTGTTGGACTTTGATGACAATTCTCATGGAGCAGGGAGAAAATGATTTGCTTTGTCCACAGGTGGCACAGTGACATATCTATTAAAGAGTAACTGGAGTTTGGCACAAGATAGATGCTTTTCGGTAGCTTATCATTATACAGAAAGATTGCAACGCAGAATAGGAAGGGCCCTCTGTGTTAGAGGCCTGAGGCTGAATTCCTGCCCACCATAGTGGAGTGATAGTCAAATGCTGGGTAATATGTCCATGCAGAAGCATACATCTCCTTTCTTATTGGGTGGTCCAGAACATGCCTTTGTATCTACACGACCTCCCAATTTTCCAAGCCGCCTTCCTCTGCAGGACCCGAGCAGTCCTAGTGATTCAAGCACACAGACTACTGTCAAACCTTTCTCGGCATGCTGTACGGTTTCCCCACCTGTGAAAAGATGGTGAAAGTCCGTACAAAGAACAAAAAATCTTGGGTGCACACCTTCCCTCCATCAACATTTCTTGCCTTAAGCCTCCTGGCAAAGAAGGCTTTCTCCAATATTTAGCAGGCCTTCAGGGAGCTGTTTAAAAGGTGAATGCAGGATAAAAGAAAAAATTACCCTCTCAGTGGTACTTTTCCCACTGCATTGCAAAAGTTATATGCTCAGGGTGCCAACAATTTTTTTGTCTGGGGGGGGACATACAGTAAAATCATTTTTTACTTGCCTTTCCCTCACTCGAACAGTGGTACTCCCACTGCATTGCAAAAGTTATATGCTCATTTTTTGTCCTGGGGGGAACATACAGTAAAAAATCATTTTTTACTTGCCTTATCCCTCACTGCTTCCTCCCAGCTGTACAACCAGCTTCCCCAAGCGTGCTTCTCTTTGCACTGTGTTGGTCTCTGATGTCATCACGTACAGTGCAGGACCAGCAGTCCTGCATTCTGAGGGCCCATCCACAACCCCCGAAGCATGTGCAGCTTACAGTTTTCCTGCAGTTGAGTAAGATGTCTCTAGAAGAGGTTATGGCCCCTAGGAGCTGGCCTTTGGTGTATGGTGGTGAGGTGGTGGTGGGTTTGTGTGTTGGTGGTGGTTTTTTTTTTTTTTTGTGTGTGTCTTTGTGCCCAGTGTTGCTCTAGCTAGTAGTACAACCTGTCATTTTATGGCAAGAAAGGGGTTTTAAGGTAAGTTTTTGTGTTTTTAACCAGCAACATCATATCTAGCTTTCCAAAATTGGCTTTTGGTTGGTGTCTATAGATAATGCCTTTTTAAGAAGGTAGTACATCTAATGAAACCTAGGAGGCATTTGATCTTGAATCATTTTTAAGTCTTCTTTAATATTACTTTTTTTTATTGCTTTTTTTGTTTTTGTCCTGTGAAGTAATTTTCCTATACCGTTCTCAGATTATCCTGTTCTCAGCTTTGATGGAAGAAAGAGAATGATTCTAAGCACAATTTCTTGGATGGGGGGAAAGAACCCATTTTTAGGAATTGCATACATGACTGTGGGCTCAATCTGTTTTTTCTTAGGTGTTGTGCTTCTCATCATACACACCAAATATGGCAATCGTAATAACAGTGCTGATATTCCAAATTAATGGTTTGCATGTGCATCTAAGCAAGTCTGTACTGCTTGTATGCTAGCTTTCTGCTGTAATATTTCTAATTTCTATTTTCTTTGTGGGCTCATTTTAAGGCCTTTTTTATTTGTTGTATCTAAAGAAAAGTTTAAAACATTTGTTGAGTCATCCGTGTTCAAACTCTGTTTCCAGTGAGCTTGCTTCTTGCTGTTTATCACAGTTGTGTAATACGGTTGCCAGTGGGATTTCTGAGCTGATCCAGACTTAATACATGTAGGGTACTGAGCTGTGTCTGCCTAAAATCCATTGCACTGATGTGTGAGACCCCTTTCACATGATCCGTTGTGCTCAGAAGGGGGTCCATTTGCTGATCTGCTGCTGAACTGAGTGGTGCTGCCGGATGACAAGTCCGTGTCTACTCCGCTTATGCAGAGTGGACATAGACACAGCACACTCTCCTCTATGGGCAGCTGTCTGTTTACACCTGACTTCCCTCTGATCAGACCAGATAAAGGGGACGGATCCCCTTTCTGTTTGTTTTTATCAGATCATAGGTAGCTAGGTGTAAACGGCACAAGTCAGTTTACGTCCAACTGTCCATACAGCAGAATTGAGGGTCTGCCTGAAAAATGGACAGGCAGACCTGACCGGACCACCCGTGTGAGAGGGGCTTTAGTGTGGTTTGTATAGGCCTCTCTACAATCTGGATTCTGCATTTAGGTGAAATTTACATGCAGAGCAGGTGAACAAGGTAGAACATTAAAAGTGATTTTGAAATAATGGAAAAAAAGCTGTTTAAAAAAAAAAACCTATACTTTACTGTCTCAGTGCCCTTTTATAGAATTATTGCTCTATTGTAAAACTTGTAAAGCTTGTCCGTACATCCTTACCATATACAGTTGTGACATAGGGGCCAGTGAGAGAAATTACAGAGCACCACTGGAGATGTAGACAACCAACACACCCATGTGTCAGCTGTGAAGACTCTTCAAGTGATTTTGCTGTGCAAAAGAGCAAAAGATCTTACAAATGGGTGGCAGGACAGGGAAGTGTAAATTCTTTTCTTTTTAAATACATTTTTTGTTTTTAATTTCAGTAAGTCACCTTAAGTGGACACAGCAGTTCCCTTCTTTGCAGATTGTGGCTGCCAGGTTCGTTGTAGTGCATTACAAACCAGCTTACTATAGAGGTAAAATAGAGGATGCTGTTGTGTAAATGCAAATGAGTACCACTGGTGTGAATATTTAGTAGGTGCCAAACATGTTTTAACAACTGAATAAGCTCAGATCCTATTTGTGCAGATCTTAGATTGCGCTACCTGGGTAAAATTGCACTTAAAGTGGAACTTTTGTGAGAAGAAAGGATATATATATATTTATTTTTTTTCTTTTCAATTACAGAAGAGACATCATATGTCTCTTCTACAGTAAAGGATTCTTACCTTCCTTCTCACAAACTCTTTGAACTGTATGCTGAGCTACTCATAGAGCTCAATGTACAGTTCTAACATGCACCAGGATGAGTTAACTCCAATGGACATGTGCAAGATTTGTCATCTTTGCTTGGGTCTTCAAGATGGCCTAAGATCCTGAACCCAGAAGAAGCCGGTGAGATGTCGGCACTGACAAGGGAGCTCAGAGACTTCGCATCGCTGGAGAAGTGGTGAGTGTAGTTCCGCGTTAAGCTCCTGCGTTAAGCTCCTGTTTGTATAAAAGCTAAAGTGCAATACATTTATGAAAACTGGTTGACTTACGAATTACTGCAGAAAACAAAAGCATATTTTTGTTTTCCCCCTTTTCATAAATGTGATTGTAGCAGTTAGGATTCCAGTTTTGTTTTCCTTTTTCTGAAAACTGGAGTTCAGAAATATCAAGCATGAAAAGTCTTTTAATATACAATGTAGAAGATCAGACAGATGGTGAGAATACGCTGGATGCATTGGTGAAATAAAGTGTACTTGGTCCTATACTAGCTCTGTCTTCCTTTGTCCACAGATGTATTTGCAACGTCTGTTACATAACACTGTATTCTCTGGAAAATGTTATTCATTCACTAGTAATATGGTGTGCACATTATTTGTTTCTGCTAGTGTCTGTGTGTAAAGGTCACAATTCTAGTGCACTTCAGCAGAGCCTTCTTGAGATTGTAGCACAAAACCACTTTACTGCCCACCATCATCCTCCTTGTAACATCTAAAACAATGTTCTGTATGTTGGGTTCAACAGCTTGTAGGGGACCATGGATTTCTGTAAATATTGATGTAATTATATTGCAGCCCTTTGTAGAAAATGTTTGTTCATAGTTTTTTTTTCTAATCCTGCATCCTCTGGTGTCTCTTCCAGTTTAGCACTGTTGATTTTGAAAATATGTTTACTGTATGCGATGCATCACTAACAGTTCTTTCACCTTTACTTTTTGTTTTACCTGGCATGTCATATTGCAGCTCTTCTTTTTGTGGATTTTTTTTTTTTTCCGTGTGTGTGTTTTCTGAACCTTGTTTGTAGTTTAAGTGTAGTCTTATTCTGCTGAGGTAGGGTGGGGATGAGAGGTCTAAAAGTGAATAAAGTTGCTTTTATGAGTGAAGTGACAGGAATTCTATATTCGGAAACACCACAACCTGAACTAAAACCTGTTGGTTACATTTGTGGGTTTTTTGTTTTTTTTTTTTCTTGTCATACTTTTTATTGACCACAGGGGACCTCTTATATCTCCCACCTTTCCCCTCCCCCATACAAAACTGTGCTGTCTTTTCTTTCTTTTTTTTTTTTTTTTTTTTTTTTGAATGAATGAATGAAGGTGCTGTGACATTGCTGCCATCTGCTGGACAAAAGCTTCATTAAAAATCAGAGCAGCTATAGCACACATGCACATGTACAGAATGAAGACTATTTAGCTTGCTTGATTCTAGATGTAAAATGTTGCTGCCTTTTTAGCTGTATATTGTGTACATGGTGAAGGTTCCAAGATTTGTGGTCTTACAGCTTTTAAGTTATTTGATTATGCCTTCTGTCATTTTATGTATTCCTCTTCTTTGATTTGTTCCATTTGCAGAAATACAGAAGTATTGCATCAAAATAAATGTAGATCTTGATTTTACACCAGAACAGTCTTGAACCTATCCTTTTTTGTTTTTTTTTTTTTTGTTTCCAAAAATTCATATGAAGTGCTTTTTTTGTTTGGTTTGTTGCTTCTTGTTAAATGGATACCAAACCAAAATGAATATGGGCAAATACGTTTGCCAAAAAAAAAACCAGGTGGATGAATTGGGGGAGATTTACTAAAACTGGAGAGTGCAAAATCTGGTGCAGCTCTGCACAGAAACCAATCACCTTCCAGGTTTTATTGCCAAAGCTTAGTTGAACAAGCCGAAGTTAGAAGCTGGGCAATGGTAACTTGCACTTGGTGGATTTGAAAAACAGAGTGCAAAAAAAATTGAAAACAGTGTGTGAATCAAAAGAAAAGTTGCAACCAATATTAGACCGAACACTGCTGTAATATACCAAAAAAGGTGCGCTAATGACATAATAAAAATCTGTCCATCAGTATACAATTATCCTCATAAATGCTATACTATAAACTGAAACAATATAATAAGCAAAAAGTCCACATAGTAAAGTGCTTGACAAATAAATCAATGACAGTGCTGTGATCAGTCCATCAACCAAATAGTTGAGTATATTGTGAAATTGCGACAAAAGCCCATCCATCAAACAAATAAGTGAAAACAACTTGTCCACCACATACAATTGGCTTCTTACCAAATAATTTGATCTCAATTGAATAGAGAATCAATATACGCTTGTGTGTGCCCCAGCACAAGACGCCGTGCTGTTGCTTATGGGTTGCTTGGCCTATAGGTTTTTTTTTATTTATAATCTCCGTAGCTACAAAGCAGTTCCTCCAAAACTGCAATAGAGCATAAAACAAACAATCTGGCTACAGGTGATCCGCATGTAATTCACTCCTTTGGCTAGGCCCCTCCCAACATGTTTTGCTAGCCAATGGGCATCGTCAGGGTGTGGAGCTTGGGCTGTACACCTCTGATACAATCCAATAGACAAAAAATGAAACCAACGCTCAAATCTTCCTGCAGACCAGGGAATTGAAAATGCCAAACGAAGAGGTGCTGCCCTTCAAAGACTGGGAAATCTGAATACTGGTGAACAAAAACAGACAAAGACGCACTCTCATCGTGCATTACCGTGGAGACCCACGTATTTATTAAATGAAATAGAAATATACTCACAAACCAACGAGAATAAAAAAAAACAGTGGTCCTCAACAACAGTGGATGCAATGCTGTGCCCTTGATGTGGATATGCTGATGCATTTTGGGAAACAAAATCCCTTCCTGGGAGCTCTGAGGAAGGGATTTTGTTTCTCGAAACGCGTCAACATATCCACACCAAGGGCACAGCATTGCATCCACTGTTGTTGCGGACCACTCTTTCTGTTTTTTTATTCTCGTTGGTTTGTGAGTATATTTCTATTTCATTTAATAAATACGTGGGTCTCCACGGTAATGCACGATGAGAGTGCGTCTTTGTCTGTTTTTGTTCACCTGTACACCTCTGATGATTGAACACCCATTGTTTTCACTTATTTGTTTGATGGATGGACTTTTGTCACATTTCACAACATATTCTCCTAGATTGTAAGCTCTAACAAGCAGGGCCTCTGTTTCCTCTTGTACCAAATTGTAACTGTAATGTCTACCTTCATTTTGTAAAGCAAACTGTTGGTGCTATATAAATTCTGTATAATAATAATTCTCACCATTTGGTTGATGGACTGATCTTCTGTCACAGCACTTTTAATTGATTTATTTGTCAAGCACTTGACTACACGGACGTTTTGCTTATTAGATTGTTTCCATTTATAGCATATCATTTATGAGGATAATTGTATATTGATTGTCAGAGATTTTTATTATGTGATTAGTGCACCTTTTTTGTTTTTGTCAAGTTAGAAGCTGACTGGCTACCATGCACAGCTGCACCAGATTCTGTGTGCTCCAG